GTCCTCGTCCTCGTCCTCGTCCTCGTCCTCGGGCTTCCTCTACCGGCGGCTCAAGACGCACGAAAAGCGAGAGATGCAGAAGGAAATCCTGTCGGTGTTGGGGCTCCCGCACCGGCCGCGGCCGCTGCACGGCCTCCTGCAGCCACAACGCCCCGCGCTCCCGCAGCAGCAGATGCCCCGCGGGGAGCCCCCTCCCGGGCGGCTGAAGTCTGCACCCCTCTTCATGCTGGATCTGTACAACGCCCTGTCCGCCGATGACGACCAGGACGGGGATTTGGAGGGGGACCCGAGGCACTCCGGGCTCCACGGAGGGGCCAGCTCATCTCGGCCCCGGCCTCCGCCCGGAGCCGCACCGCCCCTCCTTCGCAAGAGCCTCCTGGCCCCGGCACCTGACGGCGGCGGCGCATCCCCACTGGCTACCGCGCAGGACAGCGCCTTCCTCAGCGACGCCGACATGGTCATGAGCTTTGTGAACCTGGGTAAGGACTTTAGGACATCGAGCTCCTTTCCAGCAACCCGGGATCGGGGTGGTGGTGGTGATGTGAAGGGGCGAGGAGTGCCCCGCGTGGTGGCCCCGCCTGGCGCCCGGAGCAGCGGGGTGCGGGGAAGCGCGGGCGGTGCCACCTGTGCTCTCTGCGCGCCCGGCCCGGCTGCGCGCTGCCTGGCTCCACCACTGCCGCTCCGGCCACTATCTTCTCAGGCGTCTCGAGTGAGACCTGCTCTTTTGTCGCTCCTGCCCCGCTCGGTCCAAGTTTACTCTGGCGGAAGAGTCCCAGAGAGTAGCCATCGGGGAAGGAGAAGCCTTTTCAGCCCTCCCTCCCTTCCGAACTGTCTTCTTTTGCTCCCTCTCTAGTTTTCCCACCGGGAGTTTTAGTGACTCTGACAACAGTTTAGAACTTTGGAAACTTGGCCCGAACATTTTATCGGGAATCCGCGGAACTGGGGGAGAGAGGGCTTTGGTGGCAGAGGAAGGTCCGCAAGGAGCCAGAGCTCACCCGTCCCAGCTAGGCGGGGCGGCCCATCTGTGAAATCCATGCTGTGCCCTTGCTCACATGCCCTTGGCCGCTGTCCCCACGGGCTGACGCTTTAATCAAAGCCACCGAAGCCACAAGGGCAGGGAAAGGGTGCGGAGCAGGGTCGGGGCTGGGCGCTGAGCTCTGCTGATCCCGTTGCCAGGCAACAGAATGGAAATTCAAGGGCGGCTAAATCAGGCCGTGTCACAAATGAGCTGTGGCAAACAGGGACCGACCGAGTCACACAGCCTTTCCCTTCTTTAAGTCATCTCTTCTGCAAACGAGAAAGCCAGAGGAGTACTCTTGGGAGGCAACGGCAACGTTTTTTGTCTCTCTTCATTCATAAGCAGACTCGGTTAAGCATAGTCAGGGATGGAGGGGTGCAGTCGCCACGCCCCGAGTGGGTACAGCAGCGCGTGGACTGTATCTTGGCGGGCTTCCTCTTGGGGTGGGACGCGTGGCTTTGCCCGGGCCCCAGGCTACGTAAACAGACACCTGCCAAAGCAGCACCAAGTCTCCAGGAAAGGTGGCCGTCCCCAACAGCCTTATTCGGGGCAACTCTCCTGCAATGTACCTGGGTGATCTTTCCAGAACAAGTGCATCTGCGGTTTTCAATTCCGCTGAGCTTTTTGGGGGCGGGAATGTAGGAATTGAGGGGGAAGGGAGGGCGCGAGGCCGGAAGATTGGCGTTCAGCCGGTGCAGAAATCCTCCTGGGAAATTCGGGAGACCGAATCTCACAGGGAATGGAGACGCAGGCCGGCCAGTTTGCCAGGGGATCTGATTGGACGAGAAGTTTTACAATTTATTAGACCCAAATCCAAGGTGAAGACACCTCCAGGAAGCACCCTGAGGAAATTCTCTTGTGCTAGTCAGTAATACGGGGTAGGAGGCTGGAGGGTTGGGGCAGCGGAGGGTCAGTGTTGTTCCTTATTCTTTTATGCTTCTGATTTAGTAAATTCCACTCCTGGCTCTTTCTCTCCACGGCCCAATCGCCAAGCTTCCGGACAGCATTTGGAGAAACTGTTCATTCTGATGCTCTCTGGGGAGAGTCCTCACCGGAATGTAAGTGCAGGGAGACAGGCACTCCTGGGTCTTCCGTAGATAACCACGGGTTACAGCTTCAGGGAAACCAGTGCCCATGGGACTTGGACCACGGTTCTCAGTCGCAGCTGCTGGGTGGCATCACCTGGGGCATCTAGAGAGCTAAGGCTGTTATCTGCCCTGGCCCTGGAGACTGAATTCAGGGCCTTTGCTCAGAGCTACATCCTTATCCCCTGTTTTTTATTTTTATTTTGAGCAAGTTGCTAAGTTGCCCAACCTGGGGCTTGAACTTGAAATCCTCCTGCCTCAGCCTTTGGGAGTGCTGGGATTACAGATGTACATCACCATGCCTGGCTCTGGCATCTTTATTTGATTTTAAAAAGTACCTTAGATTTTTCCAAAGAGCTACCAAGGCCAAGAAGAGCCTGATATCTAAAGGGAAAATCTGAAAAGTTCCAAGAGATCTCACCAATAATCTAAAGGGAATCAATGTAACATCTCAATAAAAGGCTGTGAGCAAAATTTGTCATGTTCCTACATGTTAGAATCACCTAGGGATTTTTAAAAAGCCTGATACCTGGGTGATTTTCCATCTCAGTCAGGCAGCATGTGTGTGGGTGGAACCAGGAATCTGTATTTTTAAATCATTCCCAAATGATCCAAGGGTTCAGGAACTTCAGATGGTATTTGGAATTTCAAGGACTAGTTTGAGGCAAGTGCGTAAAGTATGGTGACATTTATTATGTTTAGCGACCTCTAAATCCCACTTGTTCCTTGCTTTTCTGACCTTTTGTGGTCTGCAGGTAGTGACCCATGGCCTCTGAATCATATTGTTTGAAGCTGGTTGACAGCTAATCTTTCTAAGGTGATGGTTTAATGTAGAGTCTCCTTGGGGATGTTCTCATTCTTCATAAAATATTTTTTTGAAATCTGAAAAGTTTGAAGAGAGCTCACCAATAATTTTAGGAAGGGAGGTCTGGGAAGAGACTTCTACCCCGGGCTCTCTTGTTCTGTCACTGGGTTCTCAGGCTCTAAGTCACAACTACTGTCCTCCTGGTGCTAGACTCTATGCGGTTAAAGGAGAAACCCTTTTCTAGGTAAGTAGAATCTGGGCTGCGACCCATGCAACTGACAATCAAGCAGTTCTGTTTAATCTTAATCCATTTAGCAGTGAGAAAGGGTTCTTTCAGAATGGGGGAAAATCTGATTACTGGGCCTCTGAGCAAGAGAAGGATAGGTCCTTTGAAGAAAATGATTGCTTAGCAGTGTGGATTCTCTAAATAAGGATGTTGGGAGGATTCCACCGATTTCCTAATTGGTGTCAGTGTCAAGCTAACTGCTGTATTCCATGACTCATCTATGAAAGAACCTGCGTATGATAGTGGTATAGTTTAAAGCACTCTATCTAGTGGATTAAGAAAGTTACACAGCAGAAGTGTAAGGGAAGGTGTTTCGTAGTTGTCAGCATGCCTCTTCTGTGGGGCTGGAGGAATGGCTTACTCATGAAATATATTTAAAACACCCTGAGCTTTGTCATCTGGCGGGACTATCAGGAAGTATGAATCAATAGGATGAATCTCTGTCCTAGCCAGAAAGCTGGTCATTTGACCAGCTCATTGTTGTTTATGTTGACTGCTTAAAACTGTGTGGGAGAGCAGGCTGGATGTTAGACTCACTGTCTGCTTTTGCAGTGGATTGCCTGCTTGGTGCCCAGGTGAGCTCACTCGTGAACCTGCATTTAATCAGGGCTGAGGGGCCATTCTCTGTTTGTTTTCCACGGCTAAAAATGCCCTGGCAGCCTGACACACAACCTTGCCGATTCGGTGACCTTGGAGAAGTATCCCAAAATATCCTTGAGGTCCCAGCTGAAAACAGACCATCTCAGAAAGACCTTCTGCACTTCTCTGTCTGTGTGAACTGGGGCCGCTCACCCGCCCTGCTCCTCCCCAGCGCCCTGCTTATTTCCTTCCTCACGCTGATCACATGGAGTTTTGCTCTTTAAATTTGCTTACTCACTTGTTCGTGTCTCCTCTGGGATGTCAGCCTCCAGAGGCCAAAAGCCTGCGGCACCACTCTGGTAGCCTGTGTGCCAGGCATAGCAGCGAGTGTTGGGGAGTTGCCCTAGAAGATCGAAACAATGAACGGGTGGCTGGTGCCAGCATCTCACCTTTTAAGTTCACATTTCTCCACTTCCCAAGATCTGCTCCTTTGGAAATGGGCTGAGTTTTACTGAGTGTAAACAAGCTACAGCTTCGAGCTTCATGGCATTTGGTGTGCATCCCAAAACTTTAAGCCGCTTTTTCATTAGTTGTCCACATGTATATTCATGTGTAGTAGGAGCTCCAGCTGAGATTGATACTGAGGTGTCCTTAAACCTGCATTTTTCTGCATTTCAGGCTTCACTTATTTATTTTGAATTAATGACGTGTTGATTTTGTGATGCTAGGATTAAATGAAATAAAAAACTCAAATCGTGCTCAGAAAGGGGAATCACTCTGTGCTACTCCAAGTAACAAGAAACTTATTGTACTAAAAATACTGGCAGTCTTCTGAACAAAATTACTCTAGGGAAACATAAATTAGAAGAAAAATGGAATACTCCCTACTTGTCTTTGTAACCAGATACACTGTACTGTCTTTCCCTCATAAACATGAGATCAGTAGGACTATTTTTCATTTGAGCTGCCTGTACTTATGAAGATTTTTGTTAGCAGAAAATAAATCCATGCCTGCAAGCTACCCAGCAGCAAAAGCAGTTGGGAGAAAATTTGCGGGAGTATGGCTCTGGCTTGATGAACCCGTGGATGTTCTCATAAAGAGATCTAAATGTGGAATTCAGTGGCACTTCAACAAAAAAGTTGTACAAAGTGTTCTTAAGTAAGATCAAAGGGCAAGCAGATACCATTGTTTAGACATCGGATGGTGTTTCCTTTGGTTGCCCTTCTAAGAATGGGTATAAATCCTTTTTTAAATGTGCTGAATCACGGTTAGTTAGTCCTTTCTCTTAAGAGTTTACCTCTGATTAGGTTGGCTTCCCAGGGATCTGAGAATCTCTGTGAGGGGGAGATAATTCACAGCACTTTTTTTTTTAGCATATGACAGTCACATTGCATCCCGGGGTCCTCCCAGTCCAGCTGCTTTGTATACTGCATTTCATGCTGCTTTGGATGCTGGGGATCGAACCAGGGTCTTGTGCCTGCTAAGCACACAGTCTACCCCTGAGCTACAGCCCCAGCCCAAATTCACACTTGACATGAGTATGGAAGGGCTGTGGAGATGTGCTGTGAAAGGCTGCATGGCAGGCTCTGTGATATAACCAGCCCTCACCTCTCCCTGTCACTCCTGTCTCGTTAAGATGACAGTGAAGAGGGTACAATTTCCTGGCTAATGGATCAACTTTCTGTGACCTTTCACAAACTTGTCT